TTAGGTTCAATGGTGATGGAAAATGGTGTCAAAGTCATGTTTCATTGAGAAAAACATATTTTTAAATAAAAGGAACACAAAGAGGCTTCCACCAATGCGTTGGTCAGTTCATTTCCACAATTAGACGGATCCAAATTTCCCTTTTGATCTCATCTTTTTGGCATTATTCTGGTCAGACGATGCACGGATTCTCTCTCTTTGTTAATTAGCTAATGTTTCATCAGGTCAGCAATGGCTACCAATGCACCCCGCTGTCATTTTCCTCCTGCAGAAATGCACTCATGCAGTAATTCCTCATCTTGCTTCCCTCAGCTCCTTTTTTCCCTCCCTGGATTTGCAGATTCTTTCCTTTCGCCCAAGCATCTCGGGAGAAGTCATTTTACAGTTCAATCAGGAATTCTAATAAACTGACCTGCGTTTTAATGACTAATTCATTGTCTCCTTTACTACCTTCATGGGTATAAAGCAGATTAATGACTTGAGCAAGGTTAAAAACAGTACCACTGTGCTTTTCCTTCAACTGTTATCAATCATCCTTTAGATTCTTAAGAGAGCTGCGGAAATTGAAGAAAAATTAGTAATACTTTTGATGGATGACGGCATAGGAAGAAGTGTACATTGGGTAAGTATGGCATTAAATGGAAGTAGGACGCTTGAATTTCAGGATTTCTTTTGCATTTAGTTAACCACTGTAAATAATGTGGCTCCAAAATACCTATTTAAATTCTCAAACTGTCTAGAGACAAAATCCCAAAATTTTCACAGCACTTTTTTTTATTGTGCAATGTTCAAAACAAAAGGCTTTTAGGAAAAACTCCAGGGGAAAACTCCACAATAGTTTTGAAAGTAGAGGCTACGGATTTTACAAGTTCTTTGACAGTTTCTTTACTTTTTCTCTTACTGTACTTCTTTTCTTGTTCAGAAATCCCATGGAAGAGGGAAGGAATTGAGAAAAAGGAGGAAAAAAACACTGAAGAGGCAAAAGGGAATGGCAAGGAAAGGGGAAGACAGGGTCTAAGGCTGCGTCTTTGTTTACCATCCTATATTCCCATCTCACACGTGTGTGCCTTGGCTGCATCTCCAGGCCCTTCCCGCTCCTTGGCCCAGTCATTTCTGACAATGTTAATGATTTAGAGTAGAGCCCTCCACATCGGATGATTTGTGACATGTAGGAAGGCTCGGATCGGGGGAGGACTAGGCAGGTTTCGGTGGGGAGTGTTTGGGATCCAGGGATGCCTTGAAGATGGTGATTCATTATATTTAAGACAAGTGTGACATCCTACTTCAAGGAAGCAGCCCACTTATGTATGGAGGAGAGGATTTTTTTTTCTTTTTTGGGGTGGCCAAAGTGGGGAGGGGTAGGTAAGTACAAAGGAATGCCTCGGTGTTTTTGGAGATGACATCGGGATCGGAGGCAGGCATATGGAGACGGCAGACTGGAAAATAATGGGTAATGGAGGAATTTAGCCCCAGGCTATATGCCTGCTTTGCCTACTTCTGTATAACTAGTATATTTATAATTCAAATACATACCTTTAATAATTAACCACCAGTGAATATTAAAGGAGAATGTAGGATATCTTTTCTGCAGATGGAGTCAGGTGAAAACAGTATTAAAATTCAAATGTGTCAACAGCACAGAACAAAGGACCGGAGAGCCCAAATCTAAAAGTTATTTGACATTTTTGGGCCAATTTTTTATTTTGTATTCAGGTAAACAAGCAAAAAGCACAAACTTCTGAGAGAGGTTGCTCTTTTTTCCATTTAAAAGTGACTTTTACTTTTATTTTGACTATAAATGGATTATGAAAGTTTTCTTGTGTGCATAGAACGTTAATTGTTTCTTGTCTTCATCACGCTAGCCAAAGGCAACTCCCAGGAAACATGAGGATACAGTTACATAGCATCCCCGGAGTATCTCATTCACTATTTGATTGTTGTCTGTAGTCAGAGTGAACTTGTGCTCTGTCATAATCAACATAACAGCTCCGGTAGTGTTGACAGCCTTTTGTCTGGGCAAAATATAAAAGTGCAGCATGAAAAACACACCTCACACACCCTACGACATCCACGTGAACAAACGCGCATCCATTTATGCCCTTTCAGACACATTTAGCCCACTGCAATTTGGAAATGAGAACTGAGTTATGGCTCGGATTCAGATTCACCGAGCTCTAAGAGCCCCTTTTAAAATAAAACACCCCAGAGGACAGTGTGTTTTGTAGTCTGTACACAAGTGGCACAGAAAAAGCTCTGGTAGATGTGTCAACTGATGTTATGCAAACACCGGTGTTCAACAAGAACCCGAGCATTTGCATCTTCAGGATCTCAAATGTGTTCCGCTTTTCGTACAGGCCCCACTTCTATCTCTTCTCTTTGATCTGGCTCATACATATTGAGAAACTAAACTCACTGAAGAATCTGAGCACGCTCACTAAAGCGTGAGCTGCGTTGGTGCGTCCTCTTCATGAAAAAAAAAGCATTAGTTTGTCCCACTTGGAATTAACAGGGTTAATTAGCGGGAGAGAGATTGGACAATTAGCTCATCCGTGCTAATTGATTAGAATATTACATCATGATGATGACTGGATCATCATAAAGCGTCCGTTCCCTAGTCCACAAAGGGATTTGTTAATATACACAATGCTTTTTGTGTAATTGGGTTTTAAAAGACCAAATCAGCCAGGGAAATCCTTAATTCTATTTCATTCTGATTATTGTTTTTTCCTTTCGTGACGCAAATGAAACGAAAGGCAGGGACGTTGGGATCTTGTAGGACGGACGTGTCCTTTTAGATTACAAGTCATGTCAACACAAGTGACGTGGATCACTGGTTAATTTCTGTCAGCTGCACAATAGGATGTGAACTCTCAAAGACCTGATTGCATCGAGGTCGTCTCTTCCTCGTGCTCATTATTGAAAAGCCATTCATGTCATATCTGCAACAGAAACGGAGTCCTCATAGTGAGATAAAGCGAACATTGTCCCATGCATCTAAATAAATGAAGCGTTTTTGATGCTTGGCTCATAGAATTCCTCTTTTTACACCCTCTATTCATTTCCCTCGCATCGGTTTTTCTTTACTCGTCCGCGGTGCGAAGCTCTGGTGTGAACTTCTAACCATCTTGCTGGTGGCTCCTCTCAAACTCCATCACGGTGTGACAATCTGCCATGAACCAAAGTCCGCGAGGCTATTTGGAGGAGGGAGGGAAAAGCTGGAGGGATGTGCTCGTGGAAACATTAAACAGGAATGGCTCAAACTTCCACCATATTCATGAAAAAACCCAACGGTTTAAATGTGATCGAGCTCAGCTCATTATGTTCTTGTGCTCTTCAATCATCAACTTTCCTTTCCGCTTGAGTTAAGTATGTGTATTCATAAATATCCCTCATGTTCTGTTCAATATTTAATCCCCTTTATGTCCTTAAACTCAGAATTCTCCATTTTTTTTAAGCTTTAACATAAAAAAAACATTTTGTGAACTATTACTCACTTCACCTCCTTTATATGTTCAGCAAATATAAAAAAAGTAAGATTCATGTGTTAATGATGAAGTATTACACTTCTTTGCTGTGCTTAATAATTAATAGCCCATCCCATCCTCTGTATGAATATTTACATGCAAAGTGTCCCTGGGAGCCATCCATATGCCAGAGGGAGGGAAGTGTGTGTGTTTATAGCATTAAACACTCAAATATCGTCAGCAACCCCATTTCGCCTCCAACCATGAAAAACACTCACTAAAGAATCGCAGGCATTTTATTTGTTGTTGCCAAGTGTAACCAATTCAACTTCCATTGAGACGTGGCAAGGCAAATTACAGGGACTCGCTGTGTGCTGAGGTGAAATCCCTGGACGCACCTTGTCTAGTTTGAACACGAAGGGATCACAAATGTTCTCTTTATTCCAGGAGTGGCGACGCTGTTCGCTGAGATCGCCCTTCCTGCACCAATAAGGAGCAGAGTCAAACACAAGCCCTGCACGTTTCAGAAGAGTTTGGCTCATTTTCATGAGGACTCATTCAGACTGGTTGTGTTGCAATAACCCTCTTGTAGAAGTTGGCCACTTTAAAGTGTGCACCAGTGAATAATGGATAAGTAGGATGTGTAATACAAACAAACACGTGAACCTGGGCATGTTGGGCTCTGTTGCTCTCATTGGTGATATTTATCTAGGAAGGGAAGGCTGAGTGTTGTTGTTGCCTCCCTGCAGGTCCCCGAGCTCTCAGATCTCCTCTCCGTCTCCTGTGTGGATAAGTACTGGCTGCAAAGGCAACACTGCTCTTTGATATTTCACTCCTAATTTGAATCAGTGGTCGCTTTATTTGACAATGCCAGGTAATTACCTGGGTACCGTGCTTGATCATGTGAACTCCTGCAGAACCTGAAAGAATGGGGAGGGAGAGAGAAAGAAGGACGGAAAGGAGGAGGAGGAGAGGGAGGGCGGGAGGGAGGTGAGATATGGATGGAAGATGGAAATGGGAAAACATAAGCAGGAATAAAAAAAATAAAAAGCTAGGGGACGAAAACAAACAAAACAGCATCTGCATTTGTTTGCCCGGCGTCGTTTTCTGCAGGTATTGAAGGGAGTCACGGATAAGAGACGTAATGTTTTGCTTAGACAAGTGGAGAGTGTTGTTAGAAGGTTGAGCCGTGGTTTTTCTGTCATGCTGTGAGGGGAGTAAACACGAGGTCACACGGGGAAAGTTAGCCAGATGAATGTAGGGGAGAGGACATGCTGCACATAATCCAAATTAATAGGTTTTGTCTCTTTGGCTGGGTCATTTGATTAACTCGCCATCAGAGCAGTGTGTGTGTGTGTGTGTGTGTGTGTGTGTGTGTGTGTGTGTGTGTGTGTGTGTGTGTGTGTGTGTGTGTGTGTGTGTGCGTGTGTGCGTGTGTGCGTGTGTGTGTGTGTGTGTGTGTGTGTGTGTGTGTGTGTGTGTGTGTGTGTGTGTGTGAATGATGAGCTTGTGTAAAGAAATAAACAGAAGTCAAAAGTTCATTTGAAAATACTTTAATATTTACATTATAAAACATGAAAAAGACACGGAAATAGTTTTTAAAACGACCAGGAGTATTTTATACATGCTGCAAATAAAGATATAAATGATCTAAACAACAAATAAAAAAATGAAAAATAAAGAAATACAACTTTAGACATTTAGAAGTTAAATTAGCCGTTTGAATTTGTTTGTTTTGAATTGGCGGCTGTAGATGTTTATCAGTGACGTGGGCTGAATAGAAAAGCCGTGTTTGCTCTCTTGGTGTGACTGGAATATCAAACTGCGTCGCTCCACGTGAATGCAGCTGGATCCACTGAGCCGACAAGTGGGGCATGGACCCGAACTTCTCCCAGAAAACAACACAATAAATATTTATTCATTGCAGGCAAAATAAAATTTTATTAAATAAATCGCCATATTTGACTCGATGAATATTCCCCAGATCATTTATTTAAGATTTATCAACATTTTCCTTCTTTTTTTTTTTAAACAGCCGGTTTTTATGGCCGCTCCGGACAGACGCACTTCAGGGGTTAATTTTATTCTAATCATTTTGAAAGCATGACGCCCACCGCGCTCCCGTTCCTCCGTTTCCATGCTGGACAAACAACAGAAGGATGGCGTTTAAATGAGGCGGAGGGAGGAATTAAGACAGTTTAATAAGGGCTTAAACCGCTGGGTTTGTCTCTCCGCGCGCCTGGAGACATTTTTCCTCTGATCAGCGGAGGAGGGCGTCTTTATTGGACGTGTTTCTGTTTCCAAATCCGCATAAGAGCCAACGATGCGTTCATTTCTTCAAATGTAGATAAGGCAGAGAGGGTTTGATGTGTGATAAAAGGTGGGTCCGCGCTGCCTGTTTAAGCCCCTTAAGCCTGATAAATGATGAGCGACAGTGGCACAGCAAGAGGGTCACCGCTATTAACTCCTCGGTTTCTCGGTCTCCACTTAAACTTCTCTCAATTACATGTGGGTGGATGCAGGCCTCATGCTTATTCTGTACCTGGAATAAAAAAATAATAAATAAAAAATTGATAAATCAGGCCATGGATGCGCTGTTTGCGCAGTTTCCCCGTGCGTAAAAAGGAAACGCCATATAGGATTATTAGGGAGCTACAAACACATGCTCACCAGGTATTCTGGGACAAACAGCCAATGCAAGCTCATTAAATCAGCATTTGGTGGATCCGAGCAGGCGTTAACGACGGGCTCTAATCTCAGCGCTGACCTGAGCGAACTGTGTCACAGTCGAGCAGAGCTGAGACGCGACGAAACACACTTCACATCAACAGCTTCAGTGTGAGGAGGGAAGATTTATTTTAACCTATACTACAGGGGGAAAGAAGACCAGTTGGTTCGAGTTATTTGTGGAATCAACGTAAATATTTGAAATAAACTCATTTATATGGTTTGTTTTATTTCAAAGCGTTGTTATAAGAGAAACTAAACAACTTTAACGCACTATTTCCCAAATTTAATAATAAAACGGTTTATTCTTTATGTTAACTCAGTTGTTTTCAGGGAATTAGTCGACTTACTTTCAAAGTCTTTATTAGTTTAAATGATGATGTTTTTATTCATAGAATAAAATTACAAAAATATTTTATTGAATCTTCATCTAATCAACAATAACAAAAAGTGTTTAATAATAATAATAATAATAATAACTGTGAACAGTTGTAAATCCAAATCTGTTTACATTTTTAGCTCAGTTGTTGAAATACAACGTTAATTTGCTAAATTTAAATATTCTAAACAAATAAAACTAAAAAAAACGTGTTTTAATGTGGATACCAAATAAACTGCTTTAACAATTAAAATAGATTTATTGCATAAATAATCAGCAGGTAAAAGAAATGAAAACAGAAGCTAATTTTGAGAATTTGATTTTTAAAAAAGTATAAATATAATTAGTTTGGATGATAGTGATTGACCTAATACAGTCATTTCCCCATGACATTTTTTTTTACTTAAAATGGAAATATTTCTATTTACAACTCAGTTTTTTGTTGATGTTTTGGTTTACTTTTCATTCGTGGCTGCTGTTTAATTATTTTTTTCCAGGGCCTTCTCTCTGCAGTGCGCCCTGCTGCAATCCGGCATCAGCTTCCGCCGCCATGTGTCGCTAGAGCGCCGCACATTCTCCCTTCTTCTCCATCTTTGAGTTAAAAAAAAGGCCACAGTTACATTCTGTGTGCTGGCCTCCCCTCTTTCTCCCCCTCCTCCCTTTTTTTACAAACCCTCTGACACCAGACTCTGAGAATCGGTGGAGGAGAAAATGATGCTTTGGAGCTGAAGAATTTACAGTTAGTCGCGAAAGTTTTACAAGTATTTGAGCTGCTCGGTCCACTTTCTGAAACCTTATAGGCACATTTCAGTCCGGGGGGGTCAAAAGGAGTTCAGATCAGATGCTGAGTACTGATGTAATGAAGGAAGAAATCTTTTTTTTTTTTGGCTATATATATTTCTTCTTTTTAATATTTAAAATGTAGTGTTAGTAAGTCAATATAAAGCTAGAAAGTTTGATTTAACTGTTTATTTTGTAGTGTTTTATATTCCAAAGGATCATTTAATTTTAACATCTGCAAAATTTCTAATTTAAGTTGAATGAATTCATTTTTTGTTTTGTTTTAAAGAACCAAACCCTCCCAGATTTTCTGCGTTCGCGCCTCTCCTGCAGCCTCTCTGTGATCCAGCCTTATCTCAGGCTCTCTATACGTTAGCTTTCCTCATTTGCATAATCTCAAACACCGGAGAGGGCCAAGAAAGACGCAAGTTACAAACAAGATTAGTGCGATTTTATTTGTTCCTGCGGTTGAGCGTCGATTGTTTCTGCAGGAGTGTTTAAGGTCACTAAGAGGATTGGAAGCTCGTTTGATATCAGTGATCTTTTTGAGGGAATTAAATAACAATGCGTTTCTCTCCATATTTAGCAACAGGCTTGTGTGTGTGTGTGTGTGTGTGTGTGTGTGTGTGTGTGTGTGTGTGTGTGTGTGTGTGTGTGTGTGTGTGTGTGTGTGTGTGTGTGTGTGTGTGTGTGTGTGTGTGTGTGTGTGTGTGTGTGTGTGTGTGTGTGTGAACAACCAAACCCTGCAGGGCAACAGGGGGAGGGAAAGGAGGGGATTGGGGCCCTGCAAAGAGTAAACAGAAGAGTGGAAGTTCAGTGCTGCAGCTCGCGCGCATGCAGGCGGTGCCGGTGCACCTTTAGGATGTGACATGCCGAGGATCTCTGTCCTGGTGACTGTCCCAGCAGTGTTTTCTTTGAAATGGATCCCTTCCCTCCCTCTTCCCCTCCTTTCCTTTAATGAATCCAAACGCAGCTGGCCATATCCCACACGGACACCGAGCGCTTTAACCCTAAACTGACCTCAATTTGACACCACCAGATGAAATTTTACCGCCTGGTAATGCCATCTACTGATTTGTTTTATACGCGCAGGAGTTGGGCTGTGCACCTGAAAAGAGCGGCTGCGTGAAAAAAATCAGTAAGGTGCATTAAAAAATCTAAAGATCTGCGGGAAATCTGGACATGTCTGCGGATGGGGTTGGGGTTGGCACACGACATGTTAGAAAAATAAAAATTAATTGACTACTAGAAGAGAGATTATTCATGTCAGATTAAAGGATTAAAAATTATTGATGTTTATTTTATTAGAAGGTAAAATTCAGCAAGTTTATTCTCAATTCACTGGTTGTTTATTTTCTCAAATAGTAAAATAAATAAATAAATAAATATTTTGAAATGTTCCCATGTTTAGAAGTCATTTCTAAGTAGTTTAACACGGTGTTCCTATACGGAGCCGGACGCGTAATTAGCCTGGTTTGCACGCTCTTCACAGCCCTCTCCTTCGGGGCAAATCACATAAGTCCACAACAAAAAGTCACGGCTTCTATAAATCGTTTAAAATCATCTAAAGTTGTAGATTTTATCAGAATTAAAAGTACTTTGTTAATTTACATTTATTTGATCTATATTTAATAATCCAGCCTTTAAAACTTCCTTTTCTCGCCCTGCGTCGACAAAAGAGCGTGCACCCGCAACAAACACATCAGGTGTACTTACCAAGATTGTCCAAATGAGGATGATGGGAGATTAAAAAAAAGAAAGAGAAAAGTCAAGCGTGAGCGAACAAATCATTGCGAACGACAGCATTTAGCTTATGAAAATATCAGCCTTCAGTGAGCAGAGTGTGCCGGGCTGGCTGTGTTTACAGAGCGCATGGAGAGACTTGAAGACGGTGAGTGTCTTGGCTCTCTGCGCACAGCTCTGCAGCTCCTTCCCGGGGTATTGCGCGTTGAAATGTCCACACAGCCGTTTGTCAAACCCTGCAGTCCCACACTTCCCACCCCCCTTTATGCCAACAAACATAACTGTTGTCGCGGTTTCATTTATTAAATCATTTTCCTTTAAAGAGAGAGAAAGAGAGAGGGGGAGGGAGGGAGGGAGAGAGAGAGAGAGATAGGAAAAAAAGCTGCTATCTCTACAATCGACCCCAAGCAACACTACTTAGTATTTTGTTTGTTGGGAGAGTTTATTGACCCTCCACCGGTAGCCACTGCCCATCTCCCCTGCGTGTGTGCCTACCTTAATCCTAACTTGTGAATAATTAATCCCCACCATCAAAAATGTCATGCAACTACAAATGGAGCCTTTATGTGCAAACCTATCAATGATGGCATATTAGCACTGATGGGGCTGAATGTTAAAGGGGATAGACGGCCTGATTCTTGTTTGTGTGTAAAAGTGCTCCAAAAAAGTCTCAACTGGAATCAATGGTCGGAGCGTTGCTCCGCCTCCAAACTTCAATCCCCCCCCCCCCCTCCTCCTCCTCCATGATTGATGATCTCGGGGAGCTTTGATAATTGACTACTCTGAGGTAAGGCACGAGCTCCCATCAAGAGAGGGGATTGGACGACAGAAACACAGAAAATTAGTTTCCCCACAAAAGCTTTTTTTTTCCTCCTGGAAAAGTTCATTCCGGGCTCAGAGGGGTGCTGCGTGGCGTTTAATTTGCTAAAATAGACTATAGCAATAATTAGACGTGAGATTATGGGATTAGGGGGATATTAAGTATGCACGCGGGTTCATAACCACAAAACAGATAACAAGTAAGCATCATTAAAACTTCAACATTCATATAATGTAGCCGCAGATGCCTGGAATCGTTCTGCTTGTGTCAGACTGTGCCATTTCCTGTGCGCAAAATCGTGCGTAATTTCGCTTTTAAAGAACATCTTAATTCAATTAACTTCCTATTTATTTACTCGTAAGTAACTATTCGTGTTCATTGTTGTGTTTTGTTCAACTCGAAGCATTCCCAGGATAAATATCCGATCTCCTCTCTTTTTTTCCAGGACTCTTCTGGGCGAAAGAAAGAAAAAGGAAGAAAAAAACGAGTGAACAGGGTGGGAGCTGTGCTGCTTTAGCCTTTTTACCCCCAGTGTGGAGTTGAAGCCGTCCCTGTGCCTCGCATACACTCTGCATATCACAAGATATGGTCTCTCCTCTCTCTTCTCTGGAGCTGCTGTAGGACTGGCTATGGCCACCACTACTTCCGGGATCCGTCATTTCATTCGCCCACCGCTCAGCGCTGCGAACTGACTCTGTTTCTATAAGCAAGCTAGCAGCCAACCTGCCAACACTCGCTGACACTCACTCATCTCAGCCTCGCCAGATAGACGAAATACCTACGGGGGAAAGAAGGGAGAGATCCGAATCGCAGACTTCTAATTTCTACACCTTTTTCCTTCTTCCTTTTTTCCTACAGTGATAATAAAACAAGATTGCGATCTGGAGGCATTAAAGGAGACGCGGACTTGCGGGATGAAAATGGACTAAAAAGATTCGTCCTCCTCTTGAACATCATCACCAACCGTCATTCATTCATTACCTTGACAACCTCTGGCTTTGATTGACAGCTGGAGTGGCAAAAAGCCATGAGACACGACAGTTTAGTTACATGCAGGTTGTTGATGGGCCGATTGTAACCTTCACTTTGGCGCATTTTTTTCTTTTTTTTCTCCAAGGAAAGAAGGAAAACAAGAAAATTTGCAAAACTTCCCGATGCTACGATTTCAACTTAACCAGACTGGCGAATAGGAGAATTCGCAAAAGTTGCTTGAAAGAGGATTCCTGCTACTAAATCACTTTCTATCCGGGACTGGGATATTAAATATACGGACATATTCAGGAGTTTATTGGAGCGCAGCCTGATGGCGCAAAGGGTAGGTTTTAAATCTCCGACGCTTTACCTGTTCAAACCCAAAGTAGGGTGGCCGTCGCACGGTCGGGTTCTGGTCGGGTGCTGGCGAAATGACGAAGTATTCCTATCAGAGCTGCTTTCTTTGACATTTTTGCAGCGCTCTCGCTCTTCAGGAGACGTGACAGCCTCTGCTCTCTTTTTTTAACCGACAGCCTCCGCGACAGTCGTGGAGCAGTTTCACAGGAGGTTCCAAACAGTTTTCACCCAAAATTCTGTGCGCAGAAGAAGGCTTCTAAGTTATTATGTTTCTGGTAATAAACCGAGCAGATCTAATACGAGACAGCTTGTTTTCAGACTGAGTCGGCATGCTTTTTCTGCAACTTTACGCGTTTGTTTTAAAAAACTGCGCACACTTTTCTTCCCTTTTTTCTTTTATTTTGCTTTATTATCATCACTTTTTTTTATTCCCAGTACGATGAGCTGGCCCATTATGGCGGGATGGATGGAGTCCCAGCGTCGATGTACGGGGACCCGCATGCTCCCCGGCCGCTTCCCCAGGTCCACCACCTGAACCACGGACCGCCGCTGCACGCCAGCCAGCACTACGGAGCCCACGCTCCGCATCCAAACGTAATGCCCACCGGCATGGGCTCTGCTGTCAACGACGTTTTAAAGAGGGATAAAGATCAAATTTATGGGTAAGGTTAACTAAATCCAAAATAGTTTTTCCCCCACAAGTTCCACCAGCCTTTCTCTAACTTTTTGTTTACTTCGACTTTCCTCCTCCCACCGCTCAATTTAAACAGTGTTTTGCGCAGGTTCGGACGTAATTTGGAGCTCTTTTGTTGCTTAGGGGAGTTTTGTTTATGTGTAATTTTACACTCATTGTACAAAGGCATCGTCAGACCTGCAGTAAGTAGAGTATGAGCCTGGAGCTTGTAAAATAATATGGGACCTCGCAAGAAGGTCACACAAACTTGCACAAAAATAGAAAGAAAACCAAATTACGCAAAAATAATTACAGACATCCATCAGTATTGATGTCAATAGATATTAATCTGCAAATCTTTAATTCTTTTGATGTAATTTTAAGAATTACTTGCAATAACACACACTCTCTCGTTCTCTCCCTCCCTCCCTCACACACACTCACACACACACACTCTCTCATACAGATTGTGTTTAATTTGCAAATATACGTTTAGTTTTATGAAATTATATTGAAACTCAGAAAACAAGTGTTCTTTTGAATGAGTGCAAACTAAAATATGATTACAGCTATTGCTCACACAGAACGTGCTATAATCCGCAGACATAATCAGGGCTGTAGTGGAGTAAATCCACCTCATCTCCTTTACGCACGCTTTTGTAAATAAGGGAGAGTTCACGCGTTTTATACCACCTTAAAATAAAGAAAACATAGGACATAAAACCCAGAAACATGCGTATAATATTTATAAAATTCTAATTTGAATTTAAAAACATTTTATTTGCATGACTACATTTATTATTAGCTTTGTTTTATTTGTGAGTGAAAGTTATTGATATCCTTAGAATAAAACATGAGCGCCTCAGTTTGTGATGGTTGACAAAAATTATATGAAATTCAACATTTTTTTGTTCGTCTATGATCTTTTTTTATTTTCTGTGACGTTTTCTCGTCTGTGTCAGTTCAGTTTTTATTTCTCTTTCCACTGCATGAAATGTCAGTCTCGATTTGCCAAATAATCGTCAGAAACGCTCCGTTTTTCTTAATTTTTAGTAAAATATTCCAGATTCGCCTTTTTGAGTCTTAATAAACGATGTAATCCTGAAAATGAAAGATAAACACGTGTAATATCTGAACAAATCCTCCGTTTTTCCAATGATGAGTGTTTAAACTTAACAGAAGATAATAAATGGAACAAAAATAATCCACGTGACCTTTTAGTCGTAATTATAAAAGATCGGTTCCATGTTCAGGTGGAGTTTTTATGTTTTGGAGCGGGCTTCCTGGAGCTGCTCGCACTCAGACTGTGTTTCCCCTCTTGCAGTCACCCTTTATTCCCACTGCTCGCTCTGGTTTTTGAGAAGTGTGAGTTGGCGACGTGTACTCCGAGGGAGCCCGGCGTAGCAGGCGGCGATGTCTGCTCCTCAGACTCCTTTAATGAGGACATCGCAGTCTTTGCCAAACAGGTCAATTTTATTTCCTCCTTACATGAGAATTCAAATACAAACAGGATGCTATGGCTGCGTCATGGCGCACGCTTTTCTGCTCTAATCATAGAAATCACCGCAATTAGTCATTGTTGTTGTGAGATTATGAGTGGGGGAGTTTCATTTATGGATTTTAACTTCATAACAAAATTAAACAAATATGTGTAGTGACTTTGATGTTTGGTGTTTGATTTTAGGTCCGAGCAGAAAAGCCTTTATTTTCATCAAATCCAGAGTTGGACAATTTGGTAAGTGCATCTTTTTTGTCTCCTAACACTGCGGCAACTCCCCACCGACTCTCTGCTGCTGGGAAATACAAGCAGATCCCAGATCTGCGCGCTTTTGTCCTCGTTAACCAATTAGAATTACTTTATTCTGATCAATGTCACAATTTAAGCTCCAATATGTCTACTTACTTCTTCTGGTTATGACTCGTTACCCTCCGTAAAGTTGATAAAAGAAATGTGCTAATTAACTTTATGGTTTTCCTTGTTTTTCAGATGATACAAGCCATACAAGTATTACGGTTTCACCTCTTGGAATTAGAAAAGGTACATTTTTTTATTTGCTCACCTAAAGGCAGCAATCACCTGCATCATCCAAATATGACAGAAATGATTAAACATCAGAGCACTGCGGTTATTATATATCTAGAAACAAACCGGAAACGCATAGAAAAGGAGAGGGAAGTTTGTTTTGTGTATTTATATGCAGTGAAATGCTGTATTTATCCAATTATCGATGTAGCTGATATAAAATATCATCCAGTTGCGCATTGATCCGCAGATTCAGTTCCAGCATGCTCATTATCCCACGTGTGCTGTTTATTTTATTTATTTGTTGTTTCTTTGCCTTTCTACTTGTTGCTCTGGTCTCGGGAGAATAATAAGCTCTGCAACAATTTCACTATTGTTTCCTTGCCGCCGATTATGCCCCCTAATTGGAGTTATTTTTGGACTGGCTGAAGCATTTCCCCATCCTGGAAAAGGTGTTCAGTTTCCTCTTTTTTAATTTTCCTTTTCTTTTCTTTCTTTTTTTTTACTTTTCCCTATAGGTGCATGAGCTCTGCGATAATTTTTGCCACCGGTACATCAGCTGTTTGAAAGGAAAAATGCCAATAGATCTAGTTATTGACGAGCGGGATGGCAGCTCTAAATCAGACCACGAAGAACTTTCGGGATCGTCGACTAACCTCGCAGATCACGTAAGTAACGCCACTTTTTCATGAAAATTTGAATGCATGGTGTTTTTCTGGTAAACCCAACTTTGCTGGGCGTCTGTTTGAGTGTGTGACCCTGCTGCGCCTTCTGCTGTGTGAAGGAAATCTCCCGATCGATGATCTGGGGTCAAAAGCTGCATGTGATATAATAGACTCAGTTATTGTTTTAGGCTTTTGATTAGGAGCAGTCATGTGTGCATGACGCGTCCGTGCGCTGCAAGGTTTTGGGCACATGCGTGCGCAAGGAAATCGCTCCCCTCCCCTTTCCTCTTTTTTTTTGGTGGAGCTTTGCACGCTTTGGAGGAGAATAATAATAAATAAATAAGGCAATTATCTCCAGGTTAACGCGGGGTATCAGCGGCATAAGCTGCAGCTTTAGGTCAATATCAAGAAAAGAAGGGGGGAAAGAGCTTTCTACTTGGAGCAGTGGGAGTTACGATATTAACCGTGCGTAAAGCTGTGGATTTTTGCTGCAGAGGTGGAGAAAGTGGTAAACCCTCACCGAGAGAGATCTCAGACCTTCCCATCAATGCCAAGTTCACGAGGCAGATGATGGTCCGTCTGGCAGCCTCCTATTGCTGTTGATGTTAATGTGTTTAATTGTTTTGTATTGATTGCCGCGTGTGCGTGCGTGTACGCGCGTGTGTGTTCCTTTGCTCCATGCTTTCTCCTCTCTCCTTTTATGGCCGGAGGCTGCATAACGCTGAATTCAATTATATGCACCTGAAGTACAGTAGCTTTAAATGCGCAAATCGATCCCTCCAGTTTGGACCGCGCGTTTTTGGCGCAATACTCTCCCCCTCCTCCTCCTCCTGCAGCGTGGATCGAGCTGACACTGTAATACTGAGCTGCTTTCTAAAAAAGAGAGTAACACAGTGACCGGTTAATATCAGTGCAGCACGAGGCCAAGCCTATTAGGAATTAAAGCAGATTTAAGAGTTATGCATCTGTTGGGTCTGGCTGTCCCGTCGCCTTCAGGGATGCACGCAGCGCCGTCGCTTCAGGTGATCTGAGTTACAATTTTATATTTTTTTATATTTTTCGACTGAAGATGTTGCTTTGAGTCATTTACAAACCCCTCCCCCCAAACACTAGTAGAAATGAGGCATACTGTTGTTTATACTGTAGAGATGAGATCCACTGGCCTGTTTGGTTTCATGGCAGATGGTTGATGCTCAAGCCAATTTCCATCAGCTTTGTCATTGCTCCACGTGCAAAATATTTTGATCATTAGACAAATAAATGTGTCAATATGTCAGCAGGCTGCAGGAAATGCTGCTGTTATTGATTTTTAGCCTCAAAACCTGCAAGATTTAAGGGATTTGTTTCACTTTTGTTGCATATAGACCCCCCCCCCCCCCCCCCCCCCCAACCCTTTATAAGAGGAAATCATATTTCCTTGTTTGTTTTTGGAGCTGTGGTGCTTTTATTAATGCTACACAGTAATATTAATAAAAGAAATGAAGTTTAAACTGAACTTGCAAAAACGTGCAAATAAGTTCATATTAATGTTAGAAAATATGAGGAATTATTCATTTTTTAAACCAAACTTTGCTGCTGGATGTGTTTTATTTTCTTTTATTTATTCACCCGTCTTTGGCTCTGTTTTATTATTAATTTCTGTCCTTGTCTCATTGAGGAGAGGAAGGCAGTTTGATAGTTAGATATGCTAATTTATTTAGTTAGAATCTCTCACGTCCATTTTTTCCTTTGCTTTGATATGCATTTTTAATATATAGCCCCGGGCTACATCTCATTTGGAGAAAGTTGGTTTTTCTGGAGATGATGAGGCTCTTCACTGAGCAGGAGGAGTGTGTTTTTATGCACGTCGCCTTCCCCTTTCTGCCTCCTTCTCTTCCACTCCTCTCCCTTCCTCCTACCTGACAGTATGAGCATAATAAGCACAGTTTTATTTACACTTGAATGCAGCAGTGTCTTGGAGATGATTGGATTATGGTATAGTGAGAACAGGATGAGGCCTTGCTGACACTGTTGATTTCCCTTCTAGTCGCTGCATGGCGGTGGCTATCTCAGCCATAGCCCACCCAAGCCTTCCCATCCCATCGCCCCTCCTCACATCAACCCTATCCTATTTTAGAAAAGAAGGAAAAAAAAGATGCAGGATTTCATACAGACTGATAAAAACAGAGCTGTGTAGTTTTAAATAGCTGGTGTGTGAAATTGTCACCCATTTGCTTTCTTGTCTAATTAATGAATAAAATTTCTCTTTTTTTTAGCTGTGCTACATCCAATTAGGGAGACAAATACAATTAACGGTGTCTGAGTATTATCTGTTCTAATGAATTCGTCTTTGTGTGTTCTTGTGCCATTGTGCCGCTTCTTCAGTCAGTCTCACATATTAGCATAAGGCTTTTATGCATTATGGCTGGATTGAAGGAACTTCTTTTTTTTTGCACAGTTTCAGATGTGTTTCATAGAATCTCGGCGTGATTTACAGGCTCCGGCGTTTTTGTTTTGGAGAGCTTTCCTCTGCGAGTTTTACTCATTCCCATAGTTTTGGTGCCGCGTATCGCTGCAAAGCAAGAGAGACAGGGAAACAAACCCTTTGGGCATCCCATTTTGTGATGCATGTTTGCAGATCTCTGCTGGATATAGTTGCAAAGTAAATATAATAGTTCATTACAAACCTGTGCTGAGCTTCTTTTATGAGTGAGGAAAGGTGCTAAAGGTGCTCAATAGGGTCCTGTCTAATTCCTGGACATCACCGTGTGCAAAACTGGGCCAAGCTAGCCAGTATAATCATGGAGGGGGTTTTCAGCTGCAGCTTTCTGCTTTTAAAAGCTGCATCATTCCTTTGTTTTTGCTTAGCAGAATTGTTTCCAGCTAGATGGGATCACCGCTGCTCACTTGTTGCATCTCCAGAGAGCACTCGTAGCTTTGCAGCATCTTTAAAATCACACAAACCTTGAACGTTTCACTTGGATTCAAATAAAAGGAATACAATGATGACTGATTTAAATAGTAAATTAAAAAATCCACATTTGATAGTTACAAGAATATAAAAGGAAAGCCGAAGAAGCTGTAATGAGCTGTCAGCTTTATGCTGACATTTATATGCCTTTCTGTTTCTTTGGAAATGTCATTTTCAGTCTTTGCCAAAACCATGAATCACAATGGCTTTCACATTTAAAAAAATCTTCCTTCTATTATTATTTTTGTCTTTCCTGGAGATATATTAGCTCATGTGGCTCCTTTGATTGTGATTTCCCTGAGAAAGTTTGCTGAGTCGGTTAAAACTCGCTGTGGTGATTTATTAGCTGCTGAATTAAGACTTTTTTATATTTTGGATAATTGAGGGTGTTGTAAATGCTCAAGTCTTCACAGAGGTGCTCCTGAGGTGGTTGTGTGTAATTACAAGCAAATAAATAAATAAACCACTTTTATTTCCCCTTCCTTGTTTATGTTGTGCTGCAAGATTTGTCTTAAAATGTCAGCTTGTCCTTTGATTTACAGTCCTGTGTGTTTCTAGTGTGTCAGCTGTTCTGCACACACACACACACACACACACACACACACACACACACACACACACACACACACACACACACACACACACACACGCGCGCGCGCGCACGCACGCACGCACGCACGCACGCACGCACGCACGCACACACACACACACACAGATTCCGCACCTCTTCCTGCAGGTTCTGAGGGAATTTGAGTGAAATTCAATGATGCTGCTAAATCAATTTTATTTGAATTTCCTAGGGATGTAGGCAGAGTTCAGAGAGGGGAGTGAAATTGTTCCAGGCAGGTGTTTGTAAATGAGGAACAGGGGACTGGGAGCAGGCGGCAGCATTCTCCTGCTCTCCTGTGGCCTGGCTGCACCACCAGCCTTCCTTCCCATATTGTCTCCTGCTTTTATATTAATTACAACCTGTATTATCAGCCGCCAGTTGCTAAGCCCAGCAAAAGGCTGTCCCTCGAGACCGTGCTTCTTTTGTGTCTTACCCTCCATCACATCCTATTGTGTACTTTTTCTGCTTGCACATACGTGTGTATTTGCTTGCCAGCACTCTCCTCCTCCTCCTCTTCTACTTCCTCCTGGTAACACTGCTCTTTAACACAATTAGTGAAGAGCATGGAGTGAACCATGTTTGACTCCTAATTATGCCCAGCTTCAGGGAATAGTCACATGGGCTTGAGGCATTTGCTGTTTCTCTTATTTTTCCTGTAGATTTGAAGGAGACGATTTGGGTGACACACTCTGTTTCCCTTTTCCCCTTTCCTTTATTTTTTTGCAACTTGTTTGAACTTCATCAGACCCACGGGGGTTGCGACAAAATGGTTGTGTGTGTGTGTGTGTGTGTTGCATGGTGTCTGATGATGCTCAGAGAGACCCTCTAAATAATTCATGGGGTGGAGAGGCTGTTGCTTTTGTTGTCTTGTGTAGCGTGCAAAGTTGAAACGCTGCCGTTGTGATATCCTCGCTCGTGTTTTGATGACAGCTTTGAGAACAATCGGTGACTTGCAGGTGTTAAAAACGCTGTGTGTCGTCTGCTTTGTTATAATTATTAATTTGAGGTCACTTTAAGTGCTGCAGTCCTCTTTTTTTTGGCTCTTTAAAAGCCAAGCTAACAAATCTCTATCTACATCTCAGCATCCAGCCACACAGAATCCACGGGGCAGCAAATCACAGCAAAATATTGTTCCCTTTTACACCATTAGCTGAGGTGTCTTTGAATTTAATTTAGTGCCAGCACCATTAAAAATGACACATTACTCTGCAATGATAGCTAAATTAAGTCCTATCGATTCCTCTGTTGCATTAAAGCCATGCTGTGGCCGAAGCTGGTTAGGTAGAATGAGTGAGGGAGTGTGCGTGAGAGCAGCGAGCGTAGGGTCTGTCCTCTGCCTTGGCGTCACTGGGGTTTGAGGGGCTGTGGGACTTTTTCTTTCTTCTTTACAGAATAAATGAGCTTTTTTAGTCATTTAGCTCAATATGACTTCAACAGCAGCCCCATTTCCCATATGTTGATCAGCGTGCCCCAGAGGGTGAACATAACACAATCGTCCATCCCTTTCAGAGCAGAGACGCGTTTCTATCGGCTCACAGCGGAGGGTTCAAACCCAACGCACGGGCCATTGTTCAGGCTCTCCTTACCCCTCTTCTCAGCAATTCTCTGAGCTCTTCATCTGATTGCCATCCGGCGAACAGCTGACGCTGAGTAGGCCTTGAGTGGGGCCCAAAGTCTGAAGGGTCTTGTGTGTTGCAGTCTGCTGTTTTCGGCTCCGAGCTGTTTGAGAAAACAGCCCGCCTTCCCCCAAAAACTTAGCAGATAAAAGGGCCCCGTTCACAGGCGTAGCAGTCGACTTCGCCTCCGTGGCAGAACGAGCAGCAGCACATCAGGACCTCGTTCCCAGGGGAACCTCCATTTAGTCTTCAGGCTCTCTCCTGTCTGTCCTACTGTACAGCTCACTCTGACTGGGGCACCAAAGCGGGGCAGGCGGGTTCCTCCGTTTCTTCTTAAGCCAATTTGGACAAAAATGGTAAAACGTGTCCATTTCTTGGAATGTTCTTTGTGTACATTTTTCCTTCTACTTTTGTATACATGTATTTGTGTTTATGTGTGTTTGAGGAAGGGGAAAAAAACTGTGTAGCGGGAAATGAGAGGTGGGTTGAGGTTTGTGGGAAGACTTGGTGCAATCCTGTGTTTGTTTGGCTTGGGTTCTGCTCCGGGGGGCAGCTCCTCTCAGGCCCCAGACAACACTGGCCTCACATTTGCCAACATTTTGTCATCATGCTCAGGTGACGTGTTCAATTGGAAAAGACTAGCGTGGGCTGCGTGAGTTCTGTGGCTCCATCCACTCTCTGTGTGTAATAGGTTGGGTCTGTGCTGGTGTAAGAGTAGTAAATGACGTGATGGTCTGCCCCGCTATTGCCTGAATGGTAGAGGAAATTCCACCTCTAGCCAGTCTTCATGTGGCACTGATAAAGCCTTTCCTGTACAATAGAAAATCCTGTTTCCCTCTGTGGACCGACGGGGCAGTGGGAAGGACCAAGAAAGAGAGGAAGAGGAGGAAAAATAGGCAGAATGGATGGCAGGAGAGAAGAAAGTTGCTTTTCCCATATTTCCAGAGCATCTTTGTGAATTGGTTAGGGTATAAAAGTGTGTATGGGTTAGGGTATAAAAGTGTGTATGGGTTAGGGTATAAAAGTGTGTATGGGTTAGGGTATAAAAGTGTGTATGGGTTAGGGTATAAAAGTGTGCATGGGTTAGGGTATAAAAGTGTGTATGGGTTAGGGTATAAAAGTGTGTATGGGTTAGGGTATAAAAGTGTGCATGGGTTAGGGTATAAAAGTGTGCATGGGTTAGGGTATAAAAGTGTGTATGGGTTAGGGTATAAAAGTGTGTATGGGTTAGGGTATAAAAGTGTGTATGGGTTAGGGTATAAAAGTGTGCATGGGTTAGGGTATAAAAGTGTGTATGGGTTAGGGTATGAAAGTGTGCATGGGTTAGGGTATAAAAGTGTGTATGGGTTAGGGTATGAAAGTGTGTATGGGTTAGGGTATGAAAGTGTGTATGGGTTAGGGTATAAAAGTGTGTATGGGTTAGGGTATAAAAGTGTGTATGGGTTTGGGTATAAAAGTGTGTATGGGTTAGGGTATAAAAGTGTGTATGGGTTAGGGTATAAAAGTGTGTATGGGTTAGGGTATAAAAGTGTGTATGGGTTAGGGTATAAATGTGTGTATGGGTTAGGGTATAAAAGTGTGCATGGGTTAGGGTATAAATGTGTGTATGGGTTAGGGTATAAAATGTGCATGGGTTAGGGAATAAAAGTGTGTATGGGTTAGGGTATAAAAGTGTGCATGGGTTAGGGTATAAAAGTGTGTATGGGTTAGGGTATAAAAGTGTGTATGGGTTAGGGTATAAAAGTGTGCATGGGTTAGGGAATAAAAGTGTGAATGGGTTAGGGTATAAAAGTGTGCATGGGTTAGGGTATAAAAGTGTGTATGGGTTAGGGTATGAAAGTGTGTATGGGCTGGGGTATAAAAGTGTGCATGGGTTAGGGTATAAAAGTGTGTATGGGTTAGGGTATAAAAGTGTGCATGGGTTAGGGTATAAAAGTGTGTATGGGTTAGGGTATAAAAGTGTGTATGGGTTAGGGTATAAAAGTGTGTATGGGTTACGCTATAAAAGTGTGCATGGGTTAGGGTATAAATGTGTGTATGGGTTAGGGTATAAAAGTGTGCATGGGTTAGGGTATAAAAGTGTGTATGGGTTAGGGTATAAAAGTGACGGCGAGCCTCAAAGCTACTTTATTATGTCACTAGCATGTGAGTGTAAGTGTGTTTCTGTGAGGGTGTGCACACATTTTGGCAGATTAGTGGGAGAATCCCTGTCATATCTTATTTTCATTTCTGACAGCAGTAATGATTAATGGCAGCTGTGGTGTGTTTGGACTTTTTACCTCTATGTTTCACGGAAGTCTGGATTGGTTCTGGTATAAATGAACTCCGCTGGGCTCCACCATGTGTGTTTAGATGATTATTCACAAGTGCTTTAATACTCTCGGCTCTGAAAATCAGCTGCCACATTAGCGGCGCAGGGTTTTGCTCTGGTAATGAAACACTTTGATTACAGTGTTTTGACTTATAGCCAGCTGCATTAGCGCGTCATTTTTGTTCTATTTATTTATGATCATCAGAGCTTTGATTTATTTATTTTTTGTTTGTTTGCTTGGACTTAACCAGTGAGCCTCTTTGTGTTGCCAGTAGAAAACATGCAGGCCAAGAACCCTCACAGTGCCAGCAGATGCTTACAGATGTCACAATTCATGTTTCCAGCTTACTCATTTGGTCTTTCTTTCTGTGCTTCCTCTCTGCCTTCCTCTCCTGCTCCTCTCCTGGTTTGTGGCTTGGATGGGGAACGTCGACGGGCGGATGCATCCCACGCTTGCTTTCTCTGTTTATGAACCTCAGAACCCAGCTTCCTGGAGAGACCACGATGACGCCACCTCCACACACTCGGCCGGCACACCGGGGCCCTCCAGCGGGGGTCACGCTTCACAGAGCGGTGACAACAGCAGCGAACAAGGTGAGCACGCACCACAATGGACATGCACTCAGGTCTCTAACCCCTAAACATGCATATGCACAGCGCAATAATCCACCATGCATGGAAAGAGCTGGCAGCTCTTCACTTTAACCCATCTAATAGAATAGATATGTCTTTCCACAGGTCTCAGACCTTCCTTTTTCTCAATGGATTATCCTCCTTTTTGACTGGCGTCCATATTGACAACCTAAAAATGAACATGCTTATCCAGTGTGACACAAACGTAACGCACTAGCCCCATAAAAAGCTTTCCAAAATGTTGCTATTTGGAGCTCTCAACAAAAGCTGGTGATTAATAGTATATTTCTGCCAGTTCTGACTTGAATTTAAACCTTATTAACTTTGCCCACACAACAGCCCATAATTAAGTCTCATTGAGCCCCATGTTATCTCACACTCAACCTGCCAAATACTCATAATGCATTTCAAAACAAGACTATTTGAACTCATTACAGATAGTGTGTGCCACGGTGATCTTCCTTGTATTTTTGCTACCATGTGCATCAGTTTTGACGTTTAAACTGTTTTTTCTTATAAGGAAGACATCAAATGCTCTCACACACCTGCTGCTCAAAATAAGACGTTTCTTTTTCTGTCTTTGTCTTTGGTGATGTCCAGTTTTGGTTTTTTTATTACTTGCATGCTTTTCTTTTTCCTAAGATGTAAGCAACAGACTCATTGAATCAAGACGTTAAAGATGTAATTTAGCCAGTGAGCAGTCCGATGCATCGATGGACTGTCCTGCGTGGTGTTTAAATCATCCTCTCATCTCCAGACAGAAACAGCAGCTGCAGCGTCTGAACCATTACTGACCACATATTAAGGGCCACAGTAGACCTATGTGGTTGGCTCTGTCAGGAATAGTTGGATCAAACTCTGACGTCTGGATATTTGGAGAGAGGAGACTTGATTAAAAGTCTGTCTGACAGAACAGACATGAGAATAGAACCGTTATTGAACATCTGATGTTTGATGTAAACCGGCACCGTAGGAGGAATTTAGCCTGGTAAGCCATCCTGTTTATGTAAATAGGTAGTCTGGCCCCGACCCATTGACAGAACTCAGTCGTAGGGATGGGATATTGTTGCCTCTGCACGCAATTGGACAGCACTAGGATCAATCTGAACAATGTTCATCGCTATGGAAATCACTCAACGGGGCAGCTCACCATACATCGCTAAAGGTGTAGAAGAGGAAGAGGTACCTCTTTCTGCTCACGTCTGAAAGAAAAGTCTAAATCGTCCAAAGTTGATGCCAGAGCAGTTTCAAACGAGCGCCATTCCTGAGCCAAACTGCCCAAAGTCTGTCTACAAACACAGAGCGCTGTGATTGGCCCCACTTTTGGGCAGCAGTAGCTCAACAGGTTGAGCGGATTGTCCAGTAATCGAAAGGTTGCAGGTTCGATCCCAGCTCCGGACAGAGAATTCTGCTGTTGTGTCCTTGGGCAAGACACTTAACCCACCTTGCCTGCTGGTGGTGGTCGGAGGGACCGGTGGCGCCTGTGCTCGGCAGCCTCGCCTCTGTCAGTGCGCCCCAGGGCAGCTGTGGCTACATTGTAGCTCATCCCCACCTGTGTGTGAATGTGTGTGTGAATGGATGAATGATACACTGTAGTGTAAAGCGCTTTGGAGTCCTTACTCTGAGAGGCGCTATACAAGTGCGGGTCATTTATCATTCATTTAAACTTAGCAAACACGTCCTCACACCCCTAAAAATGACACTGGGCGACCAAGCGTTTGTTTCCGACGTGTTGGAAGTCTCAACTGCGCCGGTTCAGACAGCGTGTTGCCTCCCAGTCCCAACACGTCGGGAACAAACGCTTGGTCACCCAGCGCCATTTGACGCTTCGGGTTTGGAATGTTGACGTAGCCGAGTCAATGGAGCGTGGCTAGACTGAGCTGCAGAGCAAAGATTTGAGCTAATCCTAGGGTTTGTCGAGATTTCTGGGCTAGGAGTTATTGATGAGTAAAAATCTAAGAAAACTATTGAAAACTGGAGGAAAAATGTGTTACATTGGCCAATTACAAGAAGAAAAAGATTATTTTTTCACTTCTCTTTGCAAGTTACGAGTGGAGATGAGGAGCAGCCAAAAGGGGGTGAGAGGGGGAGGGTGAGAGGAAAGAAATGCACTGCCTATTGATTATCTTACACACATAAGTACAAGTGACCTGTAATCCACAGAGCACTTATCGACTCCTCTCCCCACCGTATCCAGTAACAGCGGATCAATGCCGGCCCAAGACAGTTACGGTACAGCACCGTGCGCCGGGGCCCACATAAACCACGTCACGCTAAATGCAACAAGCTCTAGCTCATAATGTTTTATGATAAAAACCAAGTAAGCAGTTTGCAACTGAAGTAGGAATTTAAAAGTGGGTGAAGGGAGAGCCGTTTCAGTGCAGAGGTTAAAGAGTAGAGAAGGTGAAAAAGTAGTCAGAGCCAAAGAAAATAGAGGGAGGGAGAATGAGAGAAAAAGGGAAAGAGACCAAGGGCAACTGATTTAATGGTCTAATGAGGCCGTCCTCCAGCCAGTTGTTTTGTGTGAGCCATGCTCTGACCTTTCGCTTCACTCGGGAGCCCCGCCGCCTCATTTTTCACATTCTTGCAATTACGTTAACGCTTGAAGCACTCGCTGACTCTCGACTCTGGCCCGTTCATTCTGACAGAGCCTTCCCTCTCCAACCTTCCCCTCCTCTTCCTCTTCCACTCCACTCCACTCCACGCATGAACTCGTCTCCTATCCCAATACATTTTCAACATAAAATTTGCAGTCCGCACTGTCGGGTCCGTCGAGGAAATGTGAAATGTGCGCTTCACTTCAGTAATGGGGTCTTTAACAGCTTGGCCCCTGTTAAAAGGGGTGACAACGTGGATCAGTTGTGGAAGAAAGAATAGATAGGTGACAGTGAGGAAGAAGGAGAAAGTGAAAGAGTGAGTAGAGCTTTTTTTTGGTTCCAGCTGCCAAGAAAAACATCAACTATCTTTCTGCCATCCACCAATTTGAAAGGTGTGTTTTATGTGTGCCTGTGGCTTGAAAAATATTTACTTTAAGAACTGATCCAGAAGCATCTGTGTGTTGAATAAAGCGCTGCAGCCCATTTGTCCTCAAACGGTGACCAGATTCAATTTTCTTGAAGAGCTTTCTTGTCTTCGTAGGACTTATATGAGAATGAATCACAGTAGCAGACCCCTCATTTTTCAAAATAAGGTGCAGATATTTAAAACTCAGTGATGTCTTCCTCCTCAGTGTTGCACACAATTATAAATATGCGCTAAAAACTTTGTATGTGTGCTCACAAATAGTATTTTTGATCTGAAAAAACAAAATTTTCAATGAATTTAGACTTTTTCTCAAATTGGAATGAAATGTCCTGTCATTTGCTGAGCTTTAAAAAAAAGGGCAATGCTCAGAATAAACATTGGCAGTTTAAAAAGAGAATTCAGAAATCAAAATTACTTCCCAGGGTCTATTAGCACGTCGTTTCTTTGGAGCTCGTCCAAGTTACCAAGAAATATTGTGGGCATCAGCTGCAGGGAAGTACTTTTGATAAATGTGCACGCCTTAAGACTGCGCTCGATTCCAGTCAGGTGCCGGGTGTAATATGCAAAGCAGCCAAAGTATAAAGTATGAGGAAATTCTCCACAAACGTGTAAACACCAAAAACGATCAAATCAAAAGCACTCAACAATAAACACTGATTTCTGTAGGTAATGTTTTATTTTTCACAGTTTGAAGCATATGTTTAAGTCCGAGTGGGCTTTCTCTGCTCCAGCCCCCGCTGGTAATTATTAGCTATGCATGAAGACCAAATCCACAATGACATGTTGAGTGCTCAAAGGTGGAGATTTCTACTGTAGATGGAAATGGCTCAACAGAAGACAGGAATAAAGCATTTAGTACATTTTCTCAGCAATTGAACAATCCCTGCGCTCTGCAGATAGACAGACTCCCCAGAGAGACGGAGAGAGAGAGGCAGAATGAAGAGAAAGGGAGGAGAGAGAGGGAGTGCTTGAGTGTTCGGCTCCAAGGGAGCGTGCTGCGCTCTACGGTGTTGTGGTACATTTGCGAGTGTGTATATGTGGGGAGTGTGTGGTGAACCCCTATGGCCCTGGCTAGGGGCCCCACTCAGCAAGGTCTTTGTGGTTGATGTCTCTGGAGAGGGTCATTCCTGGTGAGGACAGAACTCATGGTGTCTCAGCATGAACAGCGCCTGTTGAATACTGTATTTTCAGTAACGTTCACCATACCTTTTAAAAGCCGTGCTTAGGACTTTAACAAAAGGTTTACAAAGTTTGTGAGAAAGAAACATTCAACCGGAATGGAAACAGGAAACACCACGATGTGCTTAACACAAGATGGAAGCCTTGTTGCGTGTTAGTAGCTCTGGAGTGATCAGTGAGGTGTGTCTGTGTATTTAAAATATATAGTTTGTGTGTGTGTGTGTGTGTGTGTGTGTGTGTGTGTGTGTGTGTGTGTGTGTGTGTGTGTGTGAGCTGGCTCCCTCTAAGTGCCTGTTAGAGTTTAATTTAGTGTAGTAATTAAAGCTGAACACTAGCCCATAAACAACAGATAAACAATAAAGCAGACCCAAGCCCTGCTGTTTCATGGTTCTCCCTCCCAGCTGTTGGAGCACTGATAATTTTAACACAGCGCCCCCTCCGCCCCCCACGTCTCAACACAAACACAATGCTGCACCCATGCACACAAATGCGGTGTGTGTGTGTGTGCACAACCGTATCTTAGCAGAAGTAAAAGGTAAAAATAGAAATCTGAGACATAAATCCGCTTCAAAAAGTGTACTGGAAGAAGACGCAGATTCATGCCACTTAGCTTTGCTGCGATAGAGCCACATAACGTTTAACCCACCTTAAATCTGCATGCATCACATTTTAAAGTTGCCACAAATAATGTGTTCTATACAGCAGCAATCAAGAAAAGTCTCTAAAAACAAACCAAACTAAACATAAAATGGCTAAAG